TTTGTTTTTAACCTTGAGTGTATCCAACTTGGTGTATATGCATTTACTATCTTTGTTAACCGCTGCTTAAAACTTAATTTTACAAATATTTTGTTAACTAACTTTTGGACTGTATTAATAAAACTGCGAGGTTTTTCTACGTCGCACTCTTTTTACCCTTAGCAGTTACTTTTGAGTACGACACCTTTTGGCTTTGCTTGCTGATTAATGTACATCAACTAAATTTCCGGATTTTTCATTTCATTTTCATCATAATAATTACGATCCTTGTTAAACAAACTCTTCGCAATTTCAGTGTTTTATTTTACGTGCCACTTTTCAAATGTAAGCGGGATCTTGTTTAGTTTTGGAGGGAATAGTCATTCGGGTGGTCATTTTTAAACGTTGCCGGGTTGACTTTATTTCAGTGTTCTTGTAGTGTGAAGTTAGCGTAGAACCTGGGGGAAGTACGCTACACTACAGGTTTTTTTTCATAACCTCAAATTTTTCGAGAAAAACTGGAAAACTGTTCGTTTTCTACTCTTATTTTTGCGAACTAAAGTCATCTCATCGGGGTCCAGGTCGGGGTCTGATATTCAGAGAAAACGGCATTTTTATGGCAAAAAAGAATACCTGCGCGGGTAAAGAAAATTTTCGTAAAGATTTGTATTTTAATAATCAAAATTAAAAAATATCATTCCGATAGAAAAATTTCAATAAAATCGCCAAAAACTAAAAAACAGTTTTCCGCATTTAGCGTGGCGCCATGTGGGCCCGCACCCATAGCGAAAAATTTTTAGGGGCGGCAAAATACCAAATTTGGGAAATAATTCAACAGTGTGATCGTGGAAAAATAACATAACCTCTTAAGAAATTGAAGTTGAAATGCTACGCACACTCTTACCAACTTAAAAGTAACCATGAAATAGGGAGTAACATAACCTACATATCGATAAATATATGCGAACTTTGTATTAATTAAGATTGTGAAAAATTTAGGGCTTCTCCCGCAATTTTTTTGTTGAAACCGTAATAAGGTGTCCTCTAGCTGTTTTTATCAATTTTGATATCGTGCCTAGGGGATTAATAACGTAACCGCGGTTAGATTCTCTGAATTCTCTGAAACACTTTCAGTGGTTACATTTACATGTTTGTATATTGGATTTCATTGTTTAAACTGTAAAATAAACTTGAAATGCGTGAAATTGGTGTCTTTTATTATTTTGGAGAGTCACTTCTGCATTTCAGTTACTTGTTTGTGATTAAAACTACAGATATTATACTTTGTTTCAAACACGCTTTATAAATCCGTAAATCGTTAATGTCACGTCCTGTGGTCAATTATTGTGCACTAGATGTAACCGGATACGGTTCATTAAGAGGAAATAATTGTGGCGCCGGCGCCATAAGTAAGGTGGCCAAGGAATAATTGTAGATCACGTGACGTCGCCAAGGTCAATCTCACTAAAATGGCGGGTCCATGTAAAGAATACGGTGTCATCCAGGTACTGCGTAGGTAATATCCTGTTATATAATAACGGAAAAGTAATCCATAAGATAAAACGATGAGGGAAGACCAAAAATTACGTATTAAGAAGCATGCTGAACCATAATTCGTACACTACTTACTTACAAATATAAATCCGCTAAGCGTATTCAATAGAGCAACTGCAACCCATCAGAAATAGAGAGAAACACTCCAAAGAAATATGGTGATATCCACTACAAAGAGCGCTTTTCAGGTATCGAATAGAATTGAAGCAACACGGAAAACATCTGCACGACCTCTGGCAGCGAAACAAAGAACTATTGTAAATTAACCGGCTGTGTCTCAGCGGTAGAGCGTTTGGATACATAGTCGGAAGGTCGGGTGTTCGAGCCTGGGCTGAGGTAAGAATTTTTCATCTGTGGCAGAGATGGGAATTTCCTTAGATGAGTTTCGAGCATTCTGCCGGCTACTCCTTCAGACTTTCTACAGGGGCACCTCTAAAACGCATTCTGCGGGTCACTTACGTAATTGGGCACAAGCTTGTTGAGGACCCAGAACAACAGAGGGACAATAAATAAATAAATATTGTAAATGAAACCTGCAATACTCAGTAGCTAAAACTAAACGGGCTTACAGAGGAAATACATAGATGGCGCAAAATAATTGAACATAATACAGTGACTTTTAAAGAGACAGTGACGACCATAGAAGCCCATCCGCCATGTTGCATCGAAAAGTGTGACGCAGTTCAGTTGAAACTGGACTGTGGTGCTAAGGGTCCCTGGTTCGAATCCGGGTTTGGGCATGGATATTTGTAAATGTATAGTGGGTTGGGTTGGTAGAGCAGCCTTGGGTGAAACCCCGCCCACCCAAAAATAAAGGCAAATACAAGTACATATGACATGTGTTGCATATATGTACTACAATCCAATAGTATATATACCTACTCGATGTAACATGCCACCGATCTCAATAACCAATCAAAAATTAGACACTATTGTCGAGAGTAAGAATCGAAGACTTATTTAAAGGGAATTTAAATTTGGAATTTTACATTGGCAAGAAAAGAACGTTACAATTTACAAAGCAGGGCAGTAGCTAGAAGGGGACAAGAGAGGACAAAGCCCGCTCCTGAAAATTTGGCAGATTGTAGCATTCTGATAAATGATCAGACATTTATTAGAAACATTAACAAAAGAAGAAATAGAAAATTCCAACCAATTTATAAGTGGGGATATTAATTAAGAAAATGTTTTAGGTTGAAAGTATGTTTTTAAGTTAGTTGTTAAATGAGTTACGTTCATTGTGTGTTTCCGTGGTTGTTTCCCAGGCTGTAGGCGCATAAATGACATACATATTGTAACGTAAATTTAATTACGTTTAAAATGGATTAATTTATAACCATGATTATTATTTATCACTTACAATTTATAACATAACACAAACGCATTGCAAACAACATTCTTTCTCGAATGTTCTGGAGTATTCAAGGGTGCTTCAGAATGTTCTAGAGCAACACGCCATATTTCCATGAAAGATTGCGTCACATCTGCCTTCGTTCTTTATCGGCGATGACTAATCTTTTTTAGCGCCTCGATATCTATCGGGATTTCTGGAATATTCGCTACATACTGTATCACTTTAATTATCTTTTTGGCCACCTGCAATACGTAGTACATGTATAAGAGAGGTGCCTCCAACTTTTATGACTTTTATGTACTTATTTCCTGCCAAACCAGTAAGCCGATAGTAATTAAAGTTGGCACGTGTTCTTAGGTGTAAGATGAAAAGCTGAACAGAGCTTTCCAAAATGTCCTGTTATTTTTTTATTAATCAATTAAACGTTACCTATGCTACCAAACTGTGCGAACTGGATTTTGTAAGCACAATTAAACCAAAAACCACTATCACATGGGTATTTCCAGCGCAACCTACTCACATAGACCGACGGACGGACTACTTTTAAAGGCGATAAATAAGGAGCGATTTTGGCAAATAAAGTGATTGATAGTTGCACATCTGGATACGAGGCCTGTCTCCCAGGAAAAATATGTTGTTACCAAAAGTATACATGGCCCACTTGGGAATTGTGCAATCGAGATTCGAGTTCCCCAAGAAAATTGATGCATAATTAACGATTTTGACATCCTTTGAGTAAAAATATTTTGGTTGCCAAAAATAATGTGTCATTTCTTGGTCATCAAGTTTGATCTGTTTCCGAACAAAATTGGTGCATAAATAACGATTTAGACCGATTTCAACGTGATGAATGCAAAAGTTAATTTGTGATAGTTGCACACCCGGAACCCATAACTGAAGTCGATACGAGGTCTAGGGACTGAGCTATAGCATGGAACGACAGACAGGCGGACTTTTTTGGATTACGCTAAAAACGAATTTTTTAGCGGGTGGTATCTGCGCGGCAAACAGCAAATTATTAATATTTCGCCCGCCCGCTCTGTAGATTTCTTTGCCCGCTCTTAGAAACTAATCTGGCTACGACCCTGTTACTACGACTTCCACTTCTTCCAATGATTTTACCCACAGGTGCCGCTATTAAAGTACGGATAAACAAAATGAGTTATTTAACAGCAAATTGAAATTATTAAGGCACCCTTAAAGCTATTTAATTCACGGCGAATAAAAGAACGATACTGTAACCAAACGTTTTAGGCTACTTTCTAAATATTTTTCTCCTGGAGTTGCATCGATCCCATAGAAATTGTCTGAAGTCTGGGCTCCCTAAATGAAAGTTCATATTCGTGTGATGTGAAGTGCATAAATGAAAATGGTGCACAAAACGTACGTTTCTCTCAGATTGAAGACATCTCACTGAGTTAATACTTAGTCAGCTTTTCTTAAGTCAAGGTGCGTCGTTGTTGATAAACAACATAAATTCATCGTAAGACCGTAAGTAAGAGTTCATGAATTTCGGTGCGCTTGAAGCTTGTCGCTCAAGTTTATTAAAGAAAATGCCCCTCTTCCGAAAATGCAATGAGATTACGACGTCACGTATTTCTCAATACGAACGAAACAATCCATTGACTATCTATCCGCTTTTTTCTTTTTACTTCGCTATTTAAGCTAAGGTCAAAACTGAACCAACGAAATGTCTGCGATCAGCGTCTCCTCTAAGCCAATCCGCGAGCCCCCATTCTTATATACTTTACTTTGCCGGTTCAGCAAAATGGAACCGACGCAAATCTCGCGACACGCTGCTATCTTGGTAGAAATAACCCACGCATTCTGCGGAATCCCGTGTCAGGCAGCATATTAAGATGTGTCGAAGGCGACGCGGCTATGAAGTAAATAGTCTGATGATGTAATCCTCTTGCCGTTGGTGTCTTCGGCCTTTCGGAAGATATTCGAAAAGTAGTTGAAAAATTCAGAAAAATTCAAACATTGTGAATTCATTCAAATTAAGCAAACATTACACACGGAATTCAAAAATGTATTACTTCGGTGTTGAAATTGGAACTGAACTGAAACGCAATTCGATTTGCTTATTACAATAAAAATAATACAACAAAAATGAAAACTAACCAACATTTTTAATCAACAGATGTATAAAACTCAAACTAAAATGAATCAGTTAACCCTTCTCGGTTTCAAAGTCACCCACACGCCATCCGCTGGAAGACCGTTGAAACTCGTTTTGTCCGGTATCAATGGGATCGCGGTCTTGGCATTCGGCACAATTTCAAAATTTTGCAGTAACCGTATAACTATTAGTTTTACTTCCAACAAAGCAAAACGAGAAGCTGTAATGAAGCGAATGTAACTTTAGCCAAGGCAATATTAACTTACCAATGCAAGCTCTCGGACCCGAACCAAATGGTATGTAGACACCCTGATGGATCTTTGATCTGTTTTCCTCGCTAAATCGTTCGGGATCAAACTTTTTGGGATTCGGAAAGTACCTCTCGTCGTAGTGTAAGGCGCACGTGGGCAGCCAAAGAACTGTACCCTTTTCCAAGTATACAGGCTTTTCCGAAGGATCTACTGGTTCAATTGTGTACGGCTTCGTGGATCTTCGATCGACGAACGGTACATTACTGTGCAATCGTAATGACTCTAAAATGGACGAATCAGAAATGGGTACCAGGACACGCGCACGTACCTGACAAAACGCATTCTAGATAACTCATCGATTTTATTGTTTCGTATGTTACTTCTCCAGATGTTCGACAAATTTCCTCGTGTAGTTTTCGCTGAACATCTGGATTGATAGCCAACTCGTAAGCAAGGAACGTCATTGCGCTTGCAACAGTATCGAATCCGGCAAGGAAGAAAATAAGAGCTTGGGCTGTTATATCCTCATCTGTCATCTGGTGCTCTGCGTTTTTGGGGTTCCTCTGTGCCTCTATGAGCAAATTAATCATATCGGGACGTTCGATTTTTTCCTGTCGCCTAATTCTGAGCGTCTCCTTTATAATGTTTCTGAAGTAAGCATCCACGTCGACACCGAAGAACTTTATGTTGAGCAACTAAAAGTGACCAAGTCTATAGATTTGGTTTCCATTCAGTCTTTACGTACCTTCATTATGCTAGGACATGAGCTGTAACCGAAGAACTTTAACATTTTCACTCCCGAAATCCTAGACGCATCCTTGCCCATCAAGTAAAACTCGTTATCTCTATTCTTCAGCGAGTTACAGGTAATCCCAAATGCGCACGTGGCAATCACGTCATTGGTGTATCTTGTAAACGCATCCATTACCTCTACCTGTACGCCATCTCCAGACTCTTTGAAGTAGTTTATAAACTGATCGGAGCATTCCGCCATTAATGTGAAGAATACTTTCATCTTGCGACTGGTAAATGATGGACTGAGTGTCGATCGCACTTCGTGCCAGTCCGATCCGGTTAAGTTGAACAAATTTTTAGCAAGTAATGGTTCCAAACCCATCGTAAAAACTGACACGTGCTCGGGAAAGGTATCAAAATCTTTTATTGTTATTTGCTTTACCAGCTCTGGATCTCGTATTAGTAATATTGGTTGCCGAAACTGGTACAATCCGACGTAACTAAAACGTATAGAGTGATGATGCGATGGAGTAATAACCCTCAAAGTACTCACCGACTGTTTGGGAATGCATTGTAGCACTCCCGTGTCAGGGTTTCGAAGGATTTAAGCCGAAGGACGTTTCCACCGAAATTTCCAAGAAAGTAAATCGGCTTAATGTAGGGCACGCCTTTGTCTCTCCATTGACTATACACCCTAGTTAACTTAAACAATGCAAATAATATGGCGAATGCGATGGCAAATAGTATCAAATACATGACTAACTAGAAGCAACATATGCGAGTTTCTAGCCTACTCATTTAGGCTCAGTGACTTGGAACACTATAAAGTGTGTGTAACGATGTGACGTTGATGTAATTAACAAACTGCGATTGCGATAACCTTTGAAGTACTATTGAATGTCGGTGGAATATTTGCAGTGCCCATTGCTCAGCATTTTCAGCACTTTAGAATAGGTACATTCAAATGCGCTCACCGCTCAGCATGGAAATTACCTACATAGTAAAAACTCATCTAGTTTGGAAAATGGAAGACCACACTTACTCACTTACTTACTTACTTACCCATTACATTCTCGTAGGTTGCAGGGGCGTTGCACAGACCAAAGGGCATGACCGTAAATTGACAATAAGCTGGACCCTATACCTATGCTTTTTCGCGGTGTTTAGGATCCATGCCAGTAGCCGCTTTTCATGTCTAAGTTGAAAAACCATTTAGCACCCGCAAGCGTATCTATTGTGTTCGGGGCAACTACCTATCTTTTTGTTACGTTGTTCAGTTGCAGTTTCGAAAACATCGCGCTGTCAGCTTTCTTCTTCACTTGCACCACAGAGGACGTCCAAGGGTTGCAGAAATTGCGTAAATTTTGCAATCGCGTAAAATGTCCAGGAAAAAATCGCCTTCTGTAACGGCTTAGTTACATTTGCATTAAATAAAATTGAACCTCTACGCCACTGGTAAAATCACAATTAATTTTATCTACGGTCAGCTCTAATAACAATTTTAAATATACCCCTTACCTTGCGGAAGGCCTTTTACGCCTCTTTAAATCGGAAAATCAAAGCCTGATGCTCTGTCTTGATTGAACTAGAATAAACGCACGTAAAAAGAATTGATTGAATAGATAAACGAATTAAAACCAATCCAATTCCAATTTCCTTTGCATCTTCCTTGCTTTAAGATATTACTTTGGTTCAAAAAAGGCAAAAAGATAGATACAACCCCTATCTCGTGATCACAAAATCAATTTTAGATTTCATGCGTGCTATTGTTATTGTTTGCGTTTTGTCCATCCGTCCGTCCGTCCGCCCGGACCCACTTCTACCGTTTTGAACTACTCCTAGGGGAATGGCCCTACAGTACCTTGAAGGTGTGCCAAACGGGCATAAAATTTCGCTGTATAAAAGGGGAGCCCCCCCCCCCACGAATTATTTCCTGAGATGCTGTTTTTGAAAGTAAAACGTGCATCATTTCTACATACGACAACCAATTGGTCTTTTTGCATACGCATGCGAAGTTAAATTTTAGAAAAGGGGTGTGGGAGTGGGGGGGGGGGGGGGGGGGTAAATATATGCACTACCCTTCATGGTATTCTAATGAAAGGTCTCATCGAAATAAATTGGTTTGTACAAACTATAACAATCCCGTGCGACCCTCTTTCTAGATCAGTGAGCGAAGGGGCCTGGGGGGGGGGGGGAGTGTAACTAGTTTTATCCTTCATGGTACTCTAATGAAAGGTCTCAATGAAAGGAACCAATTTCTACCAGCCATATAGCCTGCTCCTCGACCTCTTATCGTGATCGGGTATATTCCCTTATACCTCAAGAACGGATTGTCGGAAGAGGGTACTCACAAAGGGTTCGTGCTCTTGTTATGTATGCCAACGTAGTGTCGTGGTGATGTTTTGTAGTGCCCCGGGGCTCTTCTGGGGTTGCTGAATTAAAATTATGCGCCTTACGTCTTCCGGGGTCGCGTACGGGAGGATGTTGGGGTAAGGAGTGGCGAGCAGTTGTTCTGGTTCTTAACCCACGCGTCGACTGTGGGCTTTATGGGTCGCCTGATTGTTGGTCAATGCTTGTTGAAAGTTTGCTGCGAAAATTTCGGCTTTTTCGGCCGGATCGTATATCGCCATCTGCTGTGTAATGAGGGGGTATGTCGGGGGTCTTCTCTTCGCTTGAATTCTGGCTACCCTGATCGCGTGGCCCGTTCTTGTCATTTCTTGTTCTACATTGTTGTTCCAGCTCGTGTTGTTATATTCTCTTGGTACCTCTTTAAGAGCAGCTTGCTTGTTATTGAGGTGCAGTTTTATTGCCTGGTCCCTTGTGACTTGCCATAGTCGACGTTTTTGTTTAATTTCTTCTCGGAGATATTGCGTTATCTGCCGCCCTTGTCGGTTTGGTACTGTCTTCGTGCTGGAGTCCGTCGTGTCCCTCGTAACGCGTGCGTTAACGACGTTACGCTTTCTTCCAGCTCGTTAACATTACGGATGATGGCATTCCTGGTGCTAATGGTTCTTTGCAGGCGTTGATTGAACCATTTCAAGTTGATTGCGATGTGGGCAGGATCTGTATATACCGTCATCATCACTGGTAGAAAGTCTGATGCTCCGTCGATGACATCTGATTGATGAGCTGCATTTTCCGGGATGCACACGGAGTTGTTTGGTGGAGTGTTCTTCCGGCTGTATTGGTCACTCTGGAGCCTTATCCTACGTGCTTTGCGTTGAGATGTTGCATCTTGAAGTTTCATTATTGCATCGATGTCGTCGACACGTAATGGGTGTTTCGCACTGCGATACACGATGTTGCTAAGAATGCCTCCTATTTTGACTTGCACCCCTGTGGTGTCCAGGCTGTTATTAGAAGTGCCAGCGGTTGGTGCACTGGTCGGTCGGTACGGTATATTTTATAATGGGGGATGTTGAGCTCGGCGCCGTTGATGAGGTGAGTTTCCCCAATCAGTGCGACGTCAACGTCGCAGTTGCACAGGATCCATTTGAGAAAGGCATTCTTGACTCGAATTCGGTGGGATGGTGGTGTTTCTTCTTCTGTTTCCGGTGTCAGCCATCGTCGGCAAATATCGGGGTAACGGCGAAGAGTATCATTGATATTGTTAGGGCGTCTTCACTGAAAATTTGAATCCACAGGTGTATGAATTCTGTGAGGATTGCATAACCACAGACGATAATTAATAGGCGGGAGGATTTTTGAACTGGAACCAGATTTGGGCGTGTTATCTGTGAAACTCTCTTTTTTCTTTGCTTTATCGTTCGTTGGTAGTGGGGCACCCGCAGCTTGTGATAGGCCAGAAGGTTTAGTTTTGGGGATGGCACCTGTAATGTGTGCTAGCGGGACCGTTATTGATTTTGATTCAGTCGTTAGCACTCGGTACAGGGGTACCGGGTGTGTTGGTGACGGAACAGATTAACTGTTAATCTGTGGTGACGGTGATTGAATTTTATCGTCTCGGTTGTCGCCTGCCTGTCCCTCTTCTTTGTCATTTGTTTCCTCCTGGTGACCCATTCCCATCCCTCGTCGTCTGCGGAGGTGGTGATTACCTCCCGAGCTGCGTGTTGGATAATGATTGTTAGTGTGGCGAGTAGAGGCACGTGACTATGTTGATGGATTCGGTGCCTCTGTTCAACCTGTGCGAGGTAAGCTGTCCTGTCGCCCTTTGGGTTGTATTTTCGGGCGGGGGGAAGCCTCTCTCCTTAAGCTCGGTTGCTATCTCCTCTTGTTGTAGTGAGGATGCTAGCTACCTCGATTTCGGGTTCCGCTGGTAAAGTGAATGTGTGGAATGAAATGTTGTGTTTGCGGAGGGACTCTTGCACCATTCAGAATTGGTTTCCGCCAGTATTCTCGGCCCTCTGCCTTACGCGCGGATGTTAATTGGTTTGCCGGCGACGGTCTCCATGACCCTGGCGTGGGTTACGAAGTTGTCAAACTCCGGGATCACAATTGGCGAATTCTAAATTTTTTGACCTCGGTTGTTGCGATGGTTTGTGTAGTCTCTTTGGTGGAAGATGTTCTGGTGTTGGCGGTGGCTGCGTAGGAGGTGTCAAACTCGGAGCCGCCAGTTTGCTCCTGGTGGAAGTCTTGAGCTCTTGACCTTCCGCCTTTTGGCCTGTTTCTTTTCAGGTGGCGGTGGTGATGGTAGTAGTTTTGCCTCCATTTCGTCTAGAACAGGCGTCGAATCTGGTTTGCGGTGGGGCCGGTATGGGTTGATTGTGTTGTTGGCGGTAGTTTTGCCGTCTCCATTCCTTCCAGATGATTCGTGGGAGCTAGTTTTCTCTGGGGTTTTCTATGGGATGCTTGAAGATGCTGGTGGTTGCTGAAGATTTTTAATTTCAAAGGCAGCAGCGGTGTTTGCGCTGAAAGGCATTCCGCTCTAAAAAGAGCACCTGCGGCACTCGCGGCTCCCTGTCTGTGTTGGATTCTTGAGCCTTTTAAGCGTCACTTGTAGGCGACGCAATTCGGACGATCGCTCGGGATCGGTTGAAGGTTGTTTATTACGCAGCTGTTGCCCTACTCCTCTATCCGCCTACTTCTAGGGTGATGGTTCTCTGGTCATAGCGAAGCAGAGCACGAATTTACTCGTATTTATAGTGGTGTGTTTATTTCGTCTGGCAGAATGAAATTTTTGGAAATCTTAATTAAGATGGACAACGGCGGTCTCCTTTTTTTGTGTAATTAACATTTGCAGTTAAATTTTAATAATTTGTCGTTACTGTCGATTACTGTATCATACGAGAAAGCCGTCAGGGTTGTTTTTGTTTATATTTTTTTTAACGCAGAAGTTTCCGGGAATTTTGTTTGGTCTTTATCTGTTACCAAATGCAAATTCTTAATTTAATTGACAGGTGGATGTGTAGTTAAGATAGATGAAATTTTATTTTTTCCTAGAATTTAAGTTTGGATTTATCTCTTAATGTCTGATAACAAATTGATTTAGAAAAATTAATCTACCTCTATTTCTTGGTTTAATAACGTACGCTGAGAGGATAGTACTTGTTGTTAACTGTATATAATTGGTTGTTGTAATTTTTATTATCGGAAGAAGGGTTTCGCCTTAAATAGGACGTTGACAAGAAAAGCGTCGCTTTTAGCCACAATCAGACCAGAGTTACGTTTCGTTGAAATTTGAAATCATCTTTATGCCAAGTTTAGAGCCATAGTGCGGCCAATTTAAATCAGTTTTTTGTCGAGTTCATAAGAATAAGAATGCATGAATGATTGAATTTGGAAAGAAAAGAGGTGGCTGTTAGTAGTATGAAGTGAATGTAATTTTGAAGGATAATAAAAGTCATATTTAGAAAAGCAAAATCTGTTCTAAACGCAACATTTTTTGCCACAGTTTACGCAGTATTACGTTTTGTTGAAGAATTGATTTCGCTGCTTGCGAGTACCATCGTGGATTATTTGTTTTGAAGCCATAGCCAGCATTGAAAGTTTCGTCTGATGTTAGTTTGAAGTTTGAAGAAGTTTCGTATGTAAAGCCGGAAGCCGAATTCACGGCTAATTATTGTTCGACGTTTTGAAGTTTTGGCCATCCAAGGTGCTGCAAAGAGAGGTGTCCTTGTCTACCCTAAGAGAAGATGCTGCGATTACCCGGTCGTTAGTATAAAGTGTGTTCATTGAAAATTGTTTTTGTGAACTGTGTGCGGATACTTTTTGTTCGGATTACAATTCCCGGACAAGTAATGTAAGCAGTTAAGTCTTAATTTTAGTCTATTTGTAATAATTGTGTTTTTGTACCATTTTCCTTTTGTGTGTTAAGATTAAATCGCACTTTTGTAATTTTCACATTATTGTTTAATTCACAACGACGTCTTTTCTAATTTACCTGTTGTTTTATTGGATGCTTGCCCAAGGTTCATTTTAATTGTTCAAAATTTTGCAGTTCAGTTTGGAATTTAAGGTATTTGGTTTGACCAACTATCTGTTAGAAGTTAACAGGTTAACTGAGAGCAGAGTCGAATCTCTCCTCTGTACTGGGGAGAAGTTTTGTGCCGTGATAATAAATAAAGGTTAAGAGCTAGCTAGGTTTTTGTTGTGGTGTTTTGTGTACGGTCTTTCTGGCCTACGGATCAGTGCACACAGCACCTTTTTCTACTGTTATCATTTATTATAAGGACTCATTTATAATCACCTGATTCTGAATATACGTACGTAAAGCAGTATTTATGATCCTATTCTATTTACATGCGAAATCAAATTGCATTTCTAACCGCGATTATTAACTTCAGATTACTAATTCCCGTTACAACACATAGTCAGAATAGTAGCAGTGTAACAGAACGGTGCCATTATGGCGCATTAGGCCGAACGCAATATTTGTATAGGTTATTCCTCATAGAGTAAACTGAGTAAACGAAATCGGCGTCTTCTCGTTCCAGAGTGTTTCTAAGCTCGACGATCTGTAATAAAAGGAACCGCGACATACAACAACAAAGCTTCAGCTTACAATTTCGGAGATTGGCTAAGATCAATTTATTCTACAAATTCGAGTTAACTCGATACTAATCTTTTATAAGTATGATTGTTGTTTATCTTACATAAATATAGTAAAACTGTTTGTTTTAAAAATGTACTGATTTGATTCGCAGTTTTCTATATAAATGGTATAGTCATCGTTACCCAATATGCCATTGACATTCATGAACCCATAACTATGTCGGATTCAGCAAGCGATAAGGTTCTTTTTATCTTCGTATACTCTCATTCAAAATTAGGGGTTAACGGGGTGAAGTATATTCTAGAATGACCTATTACCAGTGCACCGGTGAAAATCCACCCCCAATGCCTGTTCCCCTTCCGTAAAAGGTTTTCAAGAAAGCTGCGGAATGAACTCTTTTGTCTGATTGAACTCTAGGGAGGAGCGCTCAATTCGTAATTCGAGACCCCGGAAGAACCAAAACACACAGGGCAAATGAGCTGGATTCCGACGGTTCTTATCTGAACATTATGGCACAAGTTTGAACTTGCATAGTGATTACACGCAGTTTGTAAAACAGCTTATCATCACTCGACTTTTTTTGATAATAATATTTTGCTTATTCACTACGTGACTTGGATATTTACATCTATTTACTATATAAACCGAGCTCACCATTAATGGCTATGCAATTCGTTATTAGATTTATTAGCAATGTGGCTAATTGTTGTCAGTTTGTCGCTCGCGGCACTTCTTTTTTACCTTAACGTCTCTAAGAGATTCAGTTATTGGAAGAATAAGGGGATCCCGTACTCAAAACCGATCTACTTTTTGGGAAACTTTGCCAGTAATGTCTTTCGAATCAAGTCATTCGAAACGATTGTTGAAGAGTGCTATAAGGAGTTCCCGAAGAGCCGGTGAGTAGTTCAATAGGTCTTTACTGAGGTTTCAAGTTCAACCTTTAGCTACTCTGGCATGTACCAGTTTAGAATCCCGGTTCTGTTAATACGCGATCCTGAGTTGGTTAAACAGGTAACCATAAAGGATTTCGACGTATTCCCAGAGCACACCAGAGTGATACCTCTAGATGCGGAACCGTTGTTTTCCAAAAACTTGTTCAACATGCTACGTAAGCTCTTACTTTTGCTGAAATTCCACTAACTTTTTTTAACAGACGATGAAGGATGGCACGACATGCGAGCAACTCTTAGTCCCACCTTCACCGCCAGCAAAATGAGAGCCGTATTCACCTTAATGCGCCAATGTTCTGATCAGTTTGTGAACTACTACAAACAATCCAAAGGCAACGTTTCGGTGGACCTCAAAGATGCGTTTACAAGATTTGCAAATGATGTCATTGGTACCTCCGCATTTGGGGTAACGTGCGACTCCCTCACGCATAAAAATAATGAGTTTTACGTAATGGGAAAAGCTTTAACAAACTTCTCTGGACTTAGAAGTTTACGGTTCTTTAGTTATACGATCAGTCCTTTTTTTAGTAAGGTAAATCTTAGTTATATAGTATTTTGGGTGGCGAATTTACATTACTTTCTTAGTTGCTGAGAATTAGAATTTTGAACACGAAATTGGAAGAGTTCTTCAAGAGTTTAATACGCGAAACCCTAGCGATTAGGACCCAAAAAAACATTATTCGGGCGGATATGATTCAACTGCTCATGGAGGCGCAAAGAAACCGGGAGCAAGACGGCCAACAAACACACAAGAAGAATAGCATATCAGATGATGACATCACAGCTCAAGCACTTATATTCTTCCTGGCTGGGTTCGAAGTGACTTCAACCGCAATGACTTTCCTCGCGTACGAGCTCGCCCTTAACCCTGAGATCCAAACTAAGTTATACGAGGAGATTTCCACAACTCTGGAGGAGAACTCTGGTAAAATTACATACGAAGCGGTCATGTCGATGAAGTATCTGGACAGAGTTGTCTCGGGTACGACGCGGTTTAGGGGTAAAATTCGTTTGCACTTAATCGATTGGTTACAGAATCGCTGAGGTTGCACGCCCCTGTACCTTTCATAGATCGAAAGTCTGTGAAACCGTACACGATTCAGCCTGACGACCCATCCGAAGAACCACTACATCTAGAAAAGGGCACCACAGTTTGGGTGCCGGTCAGCTCCATCCACCACGACGAGCAATACTTTCCTAATCCCATGAAGTTCGATCCCGAACGATTTAACGATGACAACAAGCACAACATCAAACCATTCACTTACCTTCCCTTCGGGTCAGGTCCGCGAATTTGCATTGGTAAGTGTCACCCAATTGCGCATATGATCTCACTCCAATTATCCCTCAGGTTCACGCTTCGCCTTACTGGAAATCAAGCTGATAATATTGCAAATCTTGCAACATTTCGAAATCGTTCGAGATGCGAAAACTGCCGTCCCGTTGAAACCCGACAAAACGAACTTCAACAACCTTCCAAAGGAGGGCGTGTGGGTTTCGCTTAAACCTCGAATATTAAATTAAGTGTCATCTTTTTGCGATGATAAGTAGATTAATAAACTATTTAATTTGTAAGAATTTTCGGAACGTGGTTGGGAGGCTTGGTGGTTGAGTGATGACTCCTCCTTGCAGTTGAGTTATCTGAAATGGCGACAACACACTGCTTTAGATAAATCGAAACCCTTTGATTATTGATAGTTTCCACACCGAGCTGGCGTAAGATTACTTCCAGCATAATACGGACTTTTCACCAATCGAAACCATCAAATTCAAAAAAGCCGGACCCGGACTCAGACAGGGCTTAGATGGTAAAATCCTGGCCCGTGCCCGGACTTACTGGGTAAAAACTATAGGTTCCTTGAATGAATTACATTGAAGACAGAATTGAATTTTACGTTATCTGCACATGCGCACACCCAACTTTCTTATTTGTAAAGGGATTTCTCTGAAGCGTCAAATAAAAAAAATGAAGGCGCATGTAAAACATGTTGATCCAAAGCGCATTACGCATAGTATACCTAATACTATATGATATAATTATTTATAAAGGTATATTTTTTTAATTTTAACCACAGATGCTTCTAACAAAGACGAGCATATCTCATATTGTAAAAATCAGATGTGCGCATGCGCATACTGCACAATGTCAATTTCCTTATATATAGAGATATGTTTTTGAAATGTTAACCAATGCTTCTTCTACTACAGGAAACATATCGCATATTTTAAACATCAGGTGTGAGCTTGCGTGTTGGCCCATGCTTGTTTTTAACCAATAACCACAGGCGAAGCCCAAAGACTACTAGATGGCTCAATAACACCATCAGATTCCACGTCTCTTATAAAATTTTCCGCTTCCTCTCGTTTTGCTAGCGGAAGACGTCTAGCTAACTGTTAAACTACACCTGTTGTTGTCTTGTGAGTAAAGCAGAGTCTATTGCGAGTTGGTCTGTCAATCCTTTACACGTGTCATTAACCAGATCCCTCCCGAAATACTGCCTTTCCTGATTTTCCATCCACTCAACACATACACATATGGAACCATTAGTGTAACAGAGCAGATCGATGTTTGCCTCTTTTCATCGACCTTTTTTAGTTTTCTTGCTCTTGTTGTGGACTCCATTCGACGAATCTCCCTCGAACCTTTCGACATCGATTCTGAAAATGCCCAATTTCTCCGCAATTCCAACAACGGAACTGTTCCCTTGTCACCATAGCCTTGACAGCTTGAACTTCAGCAGTCGATGCTTTGGACTCTTCTACAGCTCTAAAGCTTTTCTGTATCGTATCTTAAGCTACTTCATACTTCGAGAGCTCGGGCTGACGTGTCAGTCAAAATTTTACGAGTCGCTAAACAAATAGCGGATGTCATCATCACGAACTTGCAACGCATTCGCCTCGAGTGAACTCACTTGATCGTTACAATAAAACTGATTACTTTAAAATTGTTGCAAATATATTTGCCTTGCATTCGGGCCAGATTGAAAAAATTCCTAGGTAGATTTATACAACTTCAGCTTTCCTGACAGGTGCGCCTTTGTTGAATACGTAGAATATTTTATTTCGTTCGAATGTAAAGTGACTACTTCTTATCACTTGGTATGAGGGAGTAAATTCAACTTATCCGCTTAAAGTATTAATTTCAGCCGTTACGCTTTTAAGTATAATATGTATACTGCTATGCGCAATAGCAAATAGTTACTAAACCACCCACAAGCATCTGTCAAGCTAGCTCAATTAGACACATACTAACAAAATCTCTTATAAGAAACGATTATAATTTTTCCAGGGCACGTCCAGCATCCGCCACAACTAAAAATCTCGATATTTTATTAAAAGAGAACTCAGCACAGGGCCGTAGCCAGAGGGGGGCGAATCAGGGCGCCGCCCTAGCAGACAAAATTTTCGCCCTGGCAGGAGAATAGCGATGGAATTCTAAACAAGGATAAATTGTGCCATACTCTTGTGCAGATAAAGCGCATTTTCTTTAAAACATTTATTTTCTCTTTGTAAGTCCCTTCTCCCACAATCCACTCTTGAGGTATAAGGAATTATAACCGATCACTATAAGCGGTTAAAATATCTTAACCTTATGATATCCAATGCAAGCCATAACACACTTTACCCAAACTCGTCCTGAAACCTTCATTTTCATGCCTACTTTCTGTCAGGAAATTTGAGTTTCCATGACAGAGGCACAGCAGACGACGTTTCCTGCCGCTTGTCACTTTAAAGGCCGCACCTGTCACTTTACCGGTCGCACCGTCACATTTTTAAATATCTATAATTACTCCTGTCATCACTGACATATTGACATTAATCAAAAGTTCTATACAGGAAATAAACAACTCAATTCCTCAAAACCTTCCCCATGCATATTTAATTTAATTAAATAATATAATAATAAAATAATTAAATATCCATGGGGAAGGTTTTGAGGAATCGAGTTGTTTATTTCCTGTATGGTTCATCACCCCATTTAGAGTATGGATCAACCACGAGCCCTGGCTATAACAATCAAAGCCCTGATAGCAACAAACCTCTGGCTACGGCCCTGACTCAGCAGCCTTGATCAGCCTCCACAATTCCAATTAACTTGCACTTAAATTTCGATTTAGACTACACTGACTTTGTTTCAATTACATATGTAAAATTGGCTCTTTGGCGATGGAAAAAAACTCCCTTTAACAGGTATCTTGGTCAACCAAAAGCCTCCACCACAAAAAGAAGCCACGATTCCCGTCTTCCTCTGCTATTTAAAACAATTTACCGGTTTATGTTCAAACTTAATTAGTTCACGCAGCAATAACGGAATTTCTTATCGCAACGACCGGTGATACTTTTACAAAAAAATAAACTTAATTTTTTAACGCGTAATTCCTTTACAGTTAACTACTTAAACAAAATACAAGCGATTATTTAAACAAAATTAACAACAATAAACAAAATCACATTGGCTATTCAAATACCATGATCGAAATAGTGTTCAATTTCATATTGACGGTCACATCTACACTTCAAAATAAATGAAATTCAACACATACAGGATGGTCCATCGTTATTTTAGGTGTTGATACAAAATAAAACGTCCGCATTGCGTATAATGCTTTCGGAGCGAATAAAATGAATTTAAAAATATTGGTACTCAAACCATAACCCGCGTGTGCAGGGTAATTTGGTTTATTCCGTCGGCCCGTTCGTCCGTTTGCCCATCTATCCGTTTATCCTACGCGAAATACAACCTTAATTCTCCTGAAAATTTCATACCACAAGAGGCAATCGTACGAGAGCAAGGGTTCACGCTAAAAGCGATCCAGTTTTATATTTACCGATTTATGTACAAACTTATTTAGTTCACGCAGCGATAACGGAATTTCTTATCGCAACGACCGGTGATACTTTTACAAAAAAATAAACTTAATTTTTTAACGCGTAATTCCTTTACAGTTAACTACTTAAACAAAATACAAGCGATTATTTAAACAAAATTAACAACAATAAACAAAATCACATTGGCTATTCAAATACCATGATCGAAATAGTGTTCAATTTCATATTGACGGTCACATCTACACTTCAAAATAAATGAAATTCAACACATACAGGATGGTCCATCGTTAATTTAGGTGCTGATACAAAATAAAACGTCCGCATTGCGTATAATGCGAATAAAATGAATTTAAAATTATTGTTACTCAAACCATAACCCGCGTGTGCAGGGTAATTTGGTTTATTCCGTCGGCCCGTTCGTCCGTTTGCCCATCTATCCGTTTATCCTACGCGAAATACAACCTTAATTCTCCTGAAAATTTCATACCACAAGAGACAATCGTACGAGAGCAAGGGTTCACCCTAAAAGCGACCCAGTTTGCCATTTTTCTTGGAGGGGGCCTTTTTCAAGGGAGGGCAGTACTATTGGTAATCTTGGCAAAATTCAGTATGCCCAGTAGCGACCACTATTAAAATTTTCCGCGAAATGATTAAAATTGGAACCAATCCGTGATTCTATACAATTTAACACATTATTCTTTATCGTATAGTAATTTACACTAAACGTTTAACTTCTTGTATCTTTGTTATTGATTATTTCAGACGAAGAATTTTTTTCCAATCGAAAATCACTCGATCCTCAATTTTTCGCCCACTCTTGAGAGAAAAGTACTCCTTATTTGCTAATTTAATCGACTTCATAGCTTCAATAATATGCGATAGTGCCTATACAATTCGGAATTTTCAACCCTTTCGATCTCATATCCTTTCCTATGAATTATTCGGTACAGCAGTACCTGCGTTCCGCTTGTATTTCATAATAGACTGACCTCATTCATCAAGAATTCCATTTTTGCAGCAAAAAAGTTTAATATAACCACATTATGGAAAAGCTGTTGTGTAATGAGGTAATAATTTATCTCAAATAAAATTTAAAGGTCAAATTGTTAATGTGGTTATTGTGGTTATTGGTATTGTATTTTTCCCAGTTTGTTTTAGACGCGATTTAATCTCTGAAGATTTCTATTTAATGTCCTTTTTGGTCAAATGGTGGTTTAATAATGATATACAAAATGAGCAAAGATCAATGGATAATTTGCCCTATTTGTAGACACCATGCTTGATATTCAGTAGTAATGCTGGTGGCGTTTTTCTTCTCCAGGGTCGACTCAGTCTCGTTAAAAATCAGCAGATGAGGGACGTAGACTGGGTGGTCTTTACACACTTACTCCCTATAAAATTTTCTAATATAGGGTTTCCCTATGTAACGTAATGGTGCCTGTATGGCGCATCCAAACGAAAGCGTTAATTTTTATATTGCTTCGTACTTACATGCTGCATGGTATTTTAATTACTTTCAATTAAACTTTTCGTATTTAGTTTTATAAGTAATTTTACCAACGTCTATTTGCATAAATAAACAGGCATAAAAATCATTTGTTTAATTTTGTAAGTAAAGTTACATATCGATTTTTCATAGGTGTGCAACGGTGTTTTACGGTATGTATTTGTTATTTTGGCTTAAACAAAAATAAATCTTGAAAAGCGTTTAATCGATTTTCTTGAGGAACGGTGGGGTTTTTG